ACCTCCAGCAGTTCACCCACTCCGGTTTTCCGACCTGGCTCTGGTTCCCTCAGAGTTTTCTGCTTCTGGGTTGGGAATGTCTGTATACATCTGTCTGTCTCTCCAAACTTGAGGGCAGTGCTTTGTGACCCCACTTCTCTGCTGAGTCTAGGAAGGGTGTTGACTTTTCGGCGTGTTCCGCCTTTTCCTTGGTAGGACTCGGTGGCCACTTCTGGGCTCCGGGCCTTGCACAAGGGACCCGAAACCAGAAGTGCTGTCATTCAATTTTAAAAGTTAGGTCTGCTCTCTCCCTCATTTTGTCGATGAGTTAGGGTGAATGTATGACTTGGTCTTCAACCAGGAAGTCCTTTGGAGTTAAACAGGATGCCGTTATTCATTATTCCAGGTGCCGAATGTAAACTGCGATGCACAGTTGCACCCTGTGGATGTGGTTGCACCTGGTGAGGAAACGAATGTCCTGGAGCCAGTGGGGGGCACAGGTGGGAGCGGAGCCCAAACAGTCCGATCCCGGTCCGTGCTCTCAGCCTCTATGGCGCGGAGGAATCAGGTGTCGGACGTGCCGGGGGTGTCTCCAAGGGCTCCCTCAGACGTCCTCAGCGCCCTTCCCTGGGGCTCTTCCTTCCTGGAGAGAAACACAACTGAAGCAATGTCACACATTATTTATTAGCTCTATAAATTCATTACTTATATTTTTCTTTCAGTCGGAGGGCAAGAATTTTATTAAATTACTCTTTAGTTTACTTATTACTTTATATAACCTTTTCTAAACTAAATGTCGAAGTTGTTCTCCATCCCAGAATTCTGGACTCGAAAGAAACATCTAATTAAACTTTTACTTCTATAGATAAACAGGCCCAGATGATGCAAGGAACTTGCCAAATAGCACAGCTAACCTAGCTAAGAATTGGAAGGCAGAAAAGCACAGTGATTCAATAAAAGTGGAATCCGTTTCTTGGATTTCACGCCCCCCAGGCTGTGGGCCTTCGCAGGGCACACTTTCCCCGTCGGTGCGGCTGAGAAGAGAACGGGCCGCCTCAGAGAGTCGCAGCTGGTCCCGGAGCAGGCGGCACACCCTCGGGGCCGAGTAATCGGTCTTGATTAATTTATTTTCATCGAGACTTTAGGTTTCCAGGGAAGTGCTTGTAAAACACGCTGCCTTTGAGACTCTTCTGGCCATGGCTTTGAGGTGTGTCAGGGTAGGCCCGAGGCTGGGAGCCAGACTTCACTGGTTATTTGAGGGGGCCTGTTAGTGGAACTACACGTGGAGAAGACGAGGCTCCCCTTTGCTACTGCCGGCACCCCACTAAGTGTGGCCTGCTCTGCCTTCTTCGAAATAAGGGGGCAGTCAAGGAAATGCTGTTAAAATTCACCTTTATTTTACTAATGTTATAAATGTACATGGCTTTAGAAAATCAGTCCCAAAGGCTTTTAGTGAAAACTCTCAGTCCCTTACCCATTCCTCCCAACTCTTGAGTACTTATTTTCAGAGGCTACCACTTTCAACCCTTTCAGCTTTTTTTGTATTTGCTTCCATATTTTTAAAAAAAGATTTTATTTACTTTTTTAGAGAGAGGGGGAGGGAGGGAGAAAGAGAGGGAGAGGAACATCAGTGTGTGGTTGCCTCTTGTGCGCCCCCTACTGGGGACCCTGCCCACAGCCCAGGCACATGCCCTGACTGGGAATTGAACTGGCAACCTTTCCGTTTGCAGCCTGCACTCAGTCCTCTGAGCCGTACCAGCCAGGGCTGCCTCCACATTTTTATGCAGTCTTTTTATACTACTCTTTCCTGATTTTTTAATTTTAGATATTTTTTGACTTTATTATACTGTAGAGAAGATTTAACTGTTCTATATCCCTTCCCCATACCCACATATGTTTATTTACACATACGTATATATAGACCCTTCACAGTCTACTAATATTTTATACCATCATATTTTGTTAAATAGATATTTATGACTCTGAAAATGTAATTCACAGCTGAGCCGTGTGGTAAGTTATGATTGCGATGCCACAGTGCTGTCTTCTTGGAGACTGATAGTTGACTCTGTCTGTTTGCATAGTTTCCTGTATGTCTATCTCTAGTACATCCCCAACCTCACTCGCAAAAGTCGAAATCTCTTCATACTTTCACAAATATTCTATCACTTTCACTTTCTTTTTCTTGACGGGGGAGGAGATCTCTTCAGGAATCTGGGTCCTCTCTGTCCCATAGATTGTCCTCCAGCCTCATACTGGGTCCAGCCCATCCTGAAAAACGCCCTTCTTTTCTTGACTGTGTTGGATTCCCTGCTTCTGGGGTCTCCTGTCTTCTGGGTGGTTTGCTACCATGTTTGGTGAGACACAGCCTTTTGGTGGTTTCCTCCCCAAAAAGGAGAAAGTAGGGTAAAATATTTTGAGATTTTATGGGTCTGAGCATATCTTTCTTCTTTTTTTACTGTCATATTTACTGAGAGTTTAGAATTCTAGGTTAGAAATTATTTTTCCCTCAGAATTTTGAAAACATTGCTCTGTTGGATTTTTTGTTTTCAGTTTGCTGCTGGGGAAACTGATTCTCTATATTGATTCCCAGACTTTTTATTTTTTTTTTTAGGATTTTATTTTCTTTTTTTAAAAAACTTTTTTTGGAACTTTTTAGGCTACTTGTTCCAGTGTTTTGAAATCATATACAGATATACTATATTTGTGTGTGTGTCTGCATTTTTTAAAAAAATACTGTTTGGGTACTTGATGAGCTCATTCAATCCATAAATGGGTCTTCCACTGACAGGACATGTCCCTGCAAAGCACGCCTCCACCCCTAACTGGTTCTCTTTGATCTTCTGTCTCTTATTGGAATGTCAGTTATTCGGGTATTGGATCTTCTGCATCATTTCTATAGTTTTAAAAAAGTTTTTCTAAGAAAGAAAGGAAAAAAAAGCTTTTCCATTCCTATTATTTACTTTTTTTTCTTTTGTTTTCTAGAAGGGTTGATTTTTTTTTTTAACTTTGTATTGCAACCATTCTACTAACATTTTTATTCCTGCTCTCATAGTTTTAGTTACAGAGAATTGTTTTTGTTTGTTTGTTTGAATATTTGTTTTTTAAATGACATTCTGTTTTTGTTCCCTGAATGCCATGACCTCTCCTTTCTCTGTGAGGATATTAATTGAAATCATAAGGACTTTTTCCCGTATTTGCATTATTTTTGTTTTCTCTGAGTCCTGTGTAATAGTATTTATTGGTCTTGATCTCTTACTAGAGAATTTGCTTGGCTGTCCTTTCACATTCAGAAGTGACATGTTATCAGGTGGCTGGAAGGTCTGTGTGGGTGTCCTCCATGGATTGAATGATAAACTTCACAGCAGGATGATTTATTGGGCTGTTGTCCGTTTTCCTCTTGGAATGGTTCATTGCCCCCAGACCGCTGTTCCAGTCTCTTGCTTGGGGGGGTAAAAGTTGGCCAGCCCCTCTATCTTGATGTTGGGTTGGGGAACTGGCCTGGGGAGGGGGTCCTGCCATTCAGTGTGTAGAATTTTATTTAACCCCTCTCCTTTAATATCTGACCCCTCCCCCCCAAACTGGGCCAGGGGCCGTGAGGTCAGAATTTCCTCTGGGTCAGGCCTTCCTGGGAGCGCCCTGCGCTCTCCGGCCAGGGCGGCCCAGCCCCCGCGCTGTGCCCTCCCCTCTGTGGAAGTCAGCGCTTCCTCTCAGCATTCCCCTGTCAGCCTCTACCAGGGCTGGTGGTCCCCTGGGTCGTGAACCTTTCCAAGGTGCTCTGACATAACTTCCGCAGGCTCTGATGTTGGCTTTCTTGGATGAAGTTGTCCTCTTTCTTTGGTCTAAGTCATTTTGCTGGGTTTCCAGTATCATATTGTTTTTGAAGTTCTCCTTTGTTCTCTTTGACCCTCTTGGTTTAAGCCTCTTTTTTTATTTTTATTTTTTTAGCTCTTTTACTGTGAGAAGCAGTGGGGACTCCGGGGCCACCTCCTGTGTCACCGGGGAAGGTTATTTAATCTCTCTTTGCCTTAGTTTCCTCCTCTTAAAAAAATAATAGTTGAGCTACTTTTTAGCATCAAGTGATTAAGGATGTGAAAGCCTTTACAACCATAGCTGCCTTAACAAATGTTAGACATTCTTATTTAGAAGAGCTGCACCTGCTTGTGCATTAACCCTGTTTAATTGGAAGTCCAGAGACATGCACTTAAAAAATGTGTATCGGTAGGTAAATACTGATGGAAGCGAGGGACAAATATAACACATCCGATATGCTGCATAAAATGTCGAGGTTCGTTCATTATTTCGTTACTGGGAGGAACCTTGAGACCAGCCCTGTCTTTTGCAGATGAGGAAAGCCGGACCGGAGAGCTGAGGGACCAGCCTTGAGCCTTGAGCCCAAGCTTCAGGATTCTTAGTTCGGTCTTTTCTTCGTTAGGTCATGTTTCCTTTCCTCAGGAACAGTACAAGCTGTGAGACTTGCAGGTTTATTTCTGGTTATGATGTTATCTTACACCTAACTTTCTTCTTTTTTATTTTTTGACCTCAATGCTCAGAACTGGATCCATAAGAAGCCTTGATTTATAACACATTATAACACACTCTCATCACTGGCCCATGTGTAGCTTATTTGTTTATGTTTTTAAGTAATATAATATAGAAAAAATTTAAGCATCCATGTTGTATGCAGTACCTGGGAGGAAAATTTCAATGTATAATGTCCATGTACATTACGTACAAAAATAAACTCATGAATTTAAAAGTATTTTTGGTGACACAGCTGTTTACGTATTCTCTGTTGAATAGACAGTTATCTGATGGATGGGTGGTTTTCCAAATCTCTGTCTCATCCCATTGAAGTTCCCTGGACAGGTAGCAGTGGATCAGAAAATAAAGTAAGATGGAGAGGAGCAGGAGAAGGACCAGACGCATGAGCTCTTTGTGTTTAGCACTGAGACCTACCTGTCTCTGCACTTCGTACATCTTCTGCACACTGTGTAATGCTGGGTTTGTTGGCGATGCAGGTCTAAGAACCATTGGAGTCATCACCAAACTGGATCTCATGGATGAAGGAACAGATGCCAGAGATGTCCTGGAGAACAAGCTGCTGCCTCTGCGCAGGGGTAACGTGCTGCGTCCACTGCAGGGCTTCCTTTGGCGGCGGGTGGGCAGGCAGGCCAGAGGGAGGCTGGGCTTAAATGCTGCTGCAGGCCTGAGGAATGGGTTCAAGATAAGTTATGCTTCTTATGGAATGACACAGTGTTCCCAATGATGTATCAAAAATGGCCCAAGGGGGAACTATTCCTTAACATAACAGGAGTGAGAAAACCGGAAAAGGAAGAGGTTTGAAGGGAGAGCATAAATAGTCATAGACTGTGTAAATATACTGTCGTCCTCTAGGTCTGACTTACTTGCCCAGTATAGGACAGAACTGCTAAGAAACACACTCTATTAAGATGCACTGAGCTTTCCGGGCAAAAGACATTATTGTGTTACTGCTAAAAAATTGTCATTAGCCAAATCGGCCAGCCTTTGTTACGTACTGATGCCTCGAATTGAGTCTTTGGAAGGGACCCATTCCTCAGGCCTGAAAAAGAATTTTGCCTTTCTCATTCAGCCTCTTTGAGAGCCTTGAGATTGCCCCAAAATAAGCAACAAAGAGTGCCCCAACACCATAGGTGTGCATTCCGTTTCAGGTTACGTGGGGGTGGTGAACAGAAGCCAGAAGGACATAGACGGGAAGAAGGACATCAAGTCGGCCATGCTGGCGGAGCGGAAGTTCTTCCTCTCGCACCCGGCGTACAGACACATTGCTGACCGGATGGGGACCCCGCACCTGCAGAAGGTCCTCAATCAGGTAAAAATGCGCTTCCAAGCAATGAGAACTATCATGAAATGTGTGAGTGACTGCTGGAATTCATATCGCTTACTTTTATATACAGTTTTTTTCCTAACATAAGACATGCAGCTTAAGTGACAAGAATTTAAAAAGGAGTGTAAGTATTTAGATCCACACTGTTACTGTTCTCTTGAGTGGAATCATCCACTTTAATATTATTGAAAGACTAGCACTCAGAGCAGAGAGACATGCTTATTTAGGAAAAGTGAACAGGGGCATACACTTTAACACACATTTTTATATGCAGCCTGTAGAAAGCTTAAGCCAGTGACCCAGCAGTTAGACCGGGGCCAGTTGGGCAAAGGCAAGAGGACGCACCTGCCTGGGCTGTGGAGCAGAGAGGAGGTTCATAGCTGCCAGGTACCTCCGAGCACCACCAGGGTGGGGAGCTCTGTGGTCCTGAGAACACCGGGCAGGCCCTGTGACTCCCACTTCCTTCATTTCCACCACATTCTAACTTATGGTTTCTTTCTACAAGGTAGGTGATCTGACAGCCAGTCTGTGCTAGGTGTTACCAGGCATCTTCACCAGTAACACCAGCTGTGTTGTAACGGGGTAGATCAGATGGCCCCAACCAGTGCTTCCCATCGAGGCAGGTTGAGCGTCACCTTGGGCAGTGGAGGGGAGAGAGTCGGAGCTGCTTCTCACCACCTGCCTCTACACGCAGTCTCAGCTGCGTGTGTCATTTCTCAGGTTTTGAGTGATCAGGAAAACAGTGAAGGTTGAGTTTTGTCTCATGAGCTAATCTTCAGCCTGTCGTATGCATGTGTGATTTTGTTTTGCTTTATTTAGCAACTTACCAACCACATTCGGGACACCCTGCCGAACTTCAGGAACAAACTGCAGGCCCAGCTGCTCTCCATAGAACACGAGGTCGAAGCCTTCAAGAACTTCAAGCCGGAGGACCCCACCAGGAAGACTAAAGCGCTGCTGCAGTGAGCCCCTCTCCCTCCCTTGGTGTTTTCCGGGCTTTACGAGCGGCAGGTCCACTGTAGGAGGCTCTGTCTGTGTTAGTCGCTCAGCTTTGAGTTGCTACGTTTTCTTGAAGAATAGTTGTTGGTCTTACTCTATTGTTACAAATCTAATCAATTGCCTATTCCATGCCCGCTTTTATAGTGTTTTAATAATTGGATTCAGTAAATGGGCAAAACCCATATGATAACTCAGCAGACTTTTTTTGCCCTTAGAATTAGAAGTGGGCAGAGTTCCTGTTGAAAATGTCACAACATGTATTGTACAACTGCTTCTATCGGTGTCGCTTGTACTTACATGTTTCTTTCAATCATTTCATGGGATGTGTGTGCATTTTTCAACGGAATGAAAACCAAGGATACCATAGAAACGTACAGACACAATGAAATTTCTTTATCCTTGTCAATTATGATTTCAATTTAGCCCTTCAGAACCACAAATGTGAAAGCTGCCAAGTGTCTTTTCACTCCCCACCTTGTCCTTGGGCTACTAGATTTATCCCTTCAGGGCTCTGGGGTAGGACAGCAGTGTCGTCGGAGAGCGATCAGCCCCTTGTATCTTTTACCCTTTCTCCCTCTTCCGGTCCCTTCCAGCCTCACCCTGCACGGTAACCTGCCTCGGTCCCCCCTTCACCAGACGGCACCCTGCTGCCCAGCCCATGTTCCAGGACACCGGATGTCCATCTCCAGAGATGATGTCCCCCTCATGATGGGGCCATGCCCCTTCCCCCCCGCAGTCTCTCAATCAAAGCACCCTTCGTTTGGTGTTAAAATGCACAACATTATTTCTTCCTTTGAGGGGAGATTTCTGAGTACTCGAATTATTTAGGTAGAATTCTAAATGCATCACCTTATCCCATTTAAAAAAAACTTATGAGATCATACAGAAGAAATAATTTTTTCTTGGATTCAACACCTTCCTAGTTTTTTTCCCCTCTGTTTTAGCTTTGGCTTTGATCCAACACCTATAAAACTCTTCAAGTTAACAGAGAAAGGAAAGGTCCTTCAAGTTGAGGTCCCAGGTCATCACCATCTTAACACCTAACCTAAATGACTGTCCTTGTGGAGACTGGGTCTTGCCTCTGTGACTCCACTGGACTCAGATTACAGAATTTTCTGGTTGGGTGTTTCCCTTGTAGATGAGTGATCCAGCGCCTTCCTCTCCCTGTCCTCCCATCTCTCCCCTTTTCTGTCCTTCCCCGCTTCCTGCCCGCCTTTCCCTCAGCTCTGTGCATCCTGCCAGGGGTCTGGGTCCGTGCCACCTGCAGGGGGTTCAGCACTAAGACACGGGTGGTCTCAGGAAGAGGCCACAGTAGAGCAGAGGAGAGAGACATCTAGGGAGCTAACGGGATAAACGCAATGTCTCTGGTGAGTGTGAGATGGGAAGGGAGCCCAGCAAGGAAGCCGAGCAGCCCCCCTGGAGGACGGGTGTTTGTTCGCAGAGAAGGTACGCGTGAACAAGACCCCGGAGCGAGGAAGGAGTTGGTCAGGTGGCGAGGATGGCGTGGGCTCGGGTGCCACGTGTCCTGGTGGGCCAGGTGGCTGCAGAGTCAGGATGGGGCTAGAGGGGCAGGATGGACATTTTCTAAAATTCCCCGGTGTTTCAGCACATGTGTCGTAGATACACACCCTTCCAGGTGTTTAAAAATCAGATTAAGATTAGCATACGCATGAATATAGTCTAGATTTCCTGACCTAATAATCGGCAGGAACTTTGCATTTATCTGTGATTTTCATAAAAGATGCTGTGAGTTTTAGATGGTGTGAACTTTCCCCAGTAGATTTGTGCCTTGGGAGTAGTTCCAGTGTGTCAGAACTGGGGTTCCTATGCCAAGTCGTCAGAGGCGCGTGGTATTCCTCTCCCCGTGGGGTGTCTCTTGGTTGCTTTTCACCAGCTGCCTTACGGCAGTTCCTTCCTTCACTGACTTACTGAGCACCTCTCACAGGCTGGGCAGCGGGAGAGAAATAAAACTCACGGCCCCACTCTCAGGAGAGAGACCCGTGGATGGACGTGGTGACGTGTCTGCCGCGGGCTGTGCTGAAAATGTGCCAAAGAAGCAGGGGAGGGCTTTTCTGGTGGCAATGGGGGCAGGTGGCGGGTAGGGCCACGGGCCGTGGAAGGTTTTCTGGAAACTGAATGCTTGTATTGGGTCTTGAAGGACAGGTAGAAATTAGCCTGCTAGAGAAGCAAGGGACCGACAGACTAGTACTCTGGGCAGAAAGGAAAAAGCACAGAGACACGGCCTTCACGGGGACCCGCTTCTCTGGGACTGGTGTGGAAGCCGGAGGCAGACTGTGGAGAGTCTTGGGTGACGGGTGAAGGAGTTTTCATTTTAGTATCCAATTGTGGGGAGCCATTGAGAAGCGAGGCCAGAGCTAGTTGTAGGGGGCCCGGGGGCCACATGGGTGTCGTTCTGGCAGAGTGAGGTCTGTGACGCCGGGGGTGGAAAGGAGAGGTGCTCACCGGCGGAGGCGGGCGGGCGGGGAGGTGGCTGGCGCGGCTGGAACGCCACGTGAACAGGCTGCTGTAGGGGCTGCGGGTCAGTTGATTGTTCTAGATAACGTTTCATTGCTTAACTTCAAGTCTTTTCAAATTCTGTTTTATGGCTGCAACTAAATGGACAGGACGCACTGAATGACGCAGATATTTAGAATATATATATTTTAACTAAGTGTCTAGAGTAAACCTTAATAATACGTGTTTCAGGCAGTTACATTTTGAGTGCGGAGCGAAGTGCAGGGTGAATTCTGCCCGCAGGCGCCCCTGAGAACGCCCGGAGAGGCCCCCGGGGCCAGCCCCAGGGGATGGAAACGGGAGCTGCGAAGCCCTGCTGCTTTAACGTGAATGTGTTTCTCTCCCACGATGACAGGATGGTTCAGCAATTTGCTGTGGACTTTGAGAAGAGAATCGAAGGCTCGGGGGACCAGGTAGACACCCTGGAGCTCTCAGGGGGCGCGAAAATCAATCGCATCTTCCACGAACGCTTTCCTTTTGAAATCGTAAAGGTTTGTACTAATGTGACTTCCCCCTCCCGTTTCCCTTCATTTCCATGTTCTGCTCCACATAACTGCTCACAAAATGTTCCGTAGCTGGTCTGGGTCAAAGACAGTTCTTTGAACGAAAGCCTTCCTACTCAGGTGATGAAATTGAGAAGAGAAATGGTTTTTACTCCTGGTCCCGGTTTCATTTCATGAGATCATCAGCCTATCTCAGCAGATACAAATTGAGTTCCGATGACGCTTATTTGTTGTCTAGTTAATTTAAAAACATTTCTTGAGCACCTACTCTGTGCCGACATCCCTAAGTGCCAGTGATCAGGACAGAGTCGCTGACTGGGGATAAAGACAGAAAATAAACAAATAGACAAAGTAAGAAGAGCTCAAGTGTTAATTAGGTAACATAATGGGGGTGCTGGGGGGGAGGGAGGGAGGATGGTTGGGGAGCCACTTCTGATGGGACGTTCAGGCAAGGCGTCTCTGAGCAGGGGCCATCAGAAACATGGCCAGAATGGCATGAAAAGGCCAGCTGTGGGCATCTGGGGGAAAAGGGTTGTTCCAGGCCAGCAGCCAGGGACAAGCCCCGAAGCGAGCGCCTGTGCGGTAGGTACCGCGCAGGGGGCTGCGCCGGGCTGACCGAGGGCAGGGCCGTGTGAAAGGAATTCAGGGGAAGGAAGTGCCCAGTGAGGGTGGATTTGTGATTTTGGAAGTAAGGGCCACAGGGCCTGGACTGAGTCGGGGGATGCAAGAGAGAGAACATTCGAGATGACTCCCGAGGCCTTGGCTTGCACAGCTGAGCAAACGTGAATGCCCATCAGGTGTGGGAAACCGAGGGGAAGCCAAGCTAGTGTGTGCTGTTACGTTGGGGCCACTCCCTAGGCAGCCAAGTGCTCAGGGACTGGGCTGCCTGCCGCACACACAGAGGCGGCTGCTTGTATCTGGGTGTGGGAGGCAGATGGGTAAACAGAGAGTTTCATTAAAATGTGCTAAGAACAGTGGTGAACTTCAGCACAGGGTGCTATGGAAACACAGCCCACAGACGCAAATCCCCGCCCAGGGTGTCCGGGAGCCGGGCTTTCAAGCTGAGTTCGGAAGGATGTGCAGCTAGTTAGGCAGGAGGAGGTGAGGGGTGGGGGGAGAGTGTCCCAGCCAGCAAGGAGGACCGGGAGAGGCTGAGCCGCAGAGTGCAGGGTGCAGGCTGGGAACGGGGCAGCTCAGTGTTGTGCGGACAGACAGCGAGGCCAGAGCTGCCGAACCTCGGCGTCGGGGCGGGCCCAGGTGCTTTCCTGATACCCTTCCAGCTCGAAGCTCCATGATACTTTGATCCTACTTCCAAATACATTTCAGGTACCTAGTAACTTCTGGGACATTTTTGCACAGCGATGTATCCTGTGTTGGACTGGTAAAATATTGTTAATTTCCTCCTAGAAAGAGGCCTGGAATGCAGGTGGTTAAAAGGCGAGGGAGAAAAGATAGTCATTGTTCACCTCAGCACAGCTGGACCGCTGTTGCATGTCAGGTGACACTCTTATTTATGCATTCGTCTGTGAATACATTTCCTACATTTAGCGAAAGAATGAAGAATTATAGCTTTCAAATGAATGGTCAGATTTATGTCCAGAAGGCATCCTTTATGCACAGCACTCCTCTCTAGAACAGAGTTAAAGTCTGCTGTACTGCAATGAAACTCCCAGAAATCCCTAATGTTCTCTGTTGCCTTAAACTTTATATAAACAGATGTTCTGACCATCTGGGTTTAAGTTAGAGGAGACATGAGCATCCATTTATTACTAACGAAGTCAAGTTATCCTCATTCTTTAATATTCCATAGTACTGTTATTCAGTAGAAGTAAGTATCATAACTGTGGTTCATTTTGCATCTGCAGATGGAGTTCAATGAGAAAGAGTTGCGAAGAGAAATAAGCTATGCAATCAAAAATATACATGGTATCAGGCAAGTGATTCGCATGCCCCTTGTCTTTGGTTCAGGCAACCAAGCGAAGATGAATGTTTGTAAATGGCTAGTGAAGGCGCCTTTTCGCCGTCTAAGCCGAGTGGGACACAGAGGTGGCAGGAAGAAGCAGGAAGTCCTAGTTTGGGTTCAGAGGTAATGGCCTGTATCGTCATACTTGGTCTTTTTCGATTGGAAAACCAGAAACACTCCTGCACTCACAACACTGCGCTTGCACGACCAGGACCCCTGTCCCCCAGAGCCCTCTGTCCGGCTCGAGGGGAGCCTGGCAGGCCATCAGTCATCGTTACTTGCACGGAGACAGGGCAGGCTGACCGTGGCTGGAGCTGCGGAGCAAGGGTGGGAAGGGTCAAGGCAGGCGGTGGTTTTGGAGGTGAACCTTGTCTGTTAAGAGAACAAGAATGATTTCAGCTGGCACAGGTGTGTTCTGTGCGTGTGTGTGCTTGTGTGTCCGTGTGTGTGTCTCTTGGGGGGTGTGTCTCTGTGTCTCTTGAGGGTGCGTCTAAGTGTGTGTCTTGGGGGCGCATCTCTCCTGCGTCTCTGTGTGTTGGGTGTGTGTCTGTGTGTTACAGGGTAGGGGCAACGCAGTGAGATGTCAGAGGGCGGAGCGTGTTCGGGCTGGGGGGCGGGAGGCAGGGCGCGAAGGGAAAGGAGCCCTGAGAACGCGGGCGGAGGTGGTGGCCGCAGCCGCAGCCGGGGGTCACGCAGGCTGACTGGAGTTAGGGAAGTGGGCAGGAGCGCAGCGGACGTGCGTCTGGGGGTGGCCCTTGTGCCTGAACCTACCCTCGTATAAAGTGGTATTATATGCATTATATTTTCTTTAAATACCTATGATAGGGGGGATAAAAAGCATTTAAAGCACTTATTCTTGAGTTTGTTACAGACGCCTAAACAGAATGTAATGGAGCACGTGTTAAACTGAGGTGTCCTGAGGTCAGGGCAATAAGACTTAGGTTGCCTGCTTCATGGAGTGTCCCATGGGAAGGAGGCGCCCTCTGCCTGTTGGCAGCGGTGTCCCCACCTCTGCTGAGTGTGCTGCGAGGTGCGTGTGCCCTGTGTACACATGGCCAAATGGAGACTATCTGGGGAACTTGACCGCGACTGTGAATGTGATGGGTGATTTTCCAAAGGAGTCAAGACATTTAAATTAGCTATCATGTAAAACGGAGACAGTCTCTGCAGGCTGAGCGGGTGCGGGCACGTCTGTGGGCACGTCTGTGGGCACCAAGGGAGGAGGAGGAGCACGCACGAGCATACCCGGCGTCTCTCGCCGGCCGCGGGCTTTCCAAGCTCCCGCTAGTCCTCGCCCCTCGCCCTCGAATCCAGGATGTATCTGCTGTCGTACTGCGTCTTGCCCTTTAGCTGGGCAGAGCTAGTGTTTGAACATGTCATTCACATCACAGTTTTGAGGCCACAGAGTATTTTTACTTAGCCAAATACTGCACTTTCCTTGGCTTTTAAAGGTTTTATGAGTACGTTTCTGTTGACTGCAACTGCCAAAGCGCAGCAATTCCGTCTTGTGGATTTCCGATTTGTGTGCTTACCAACAGGAGAGATCGGCTGCCATTGTTCTGTAGCTGATTTGCCTGTAAGATCATGATGTCCTGTAGGTATGGAAGACCTACTAATGATACGATTACTTAGGCCCTAACGTACATGTGTAAAAAACATTGTCCCAGCTGATTCTGTTGGATATTTGAGTAATGGAAACTCTCCTCGCCCACTAAGGGCCTGATGGACCCTTCCTTGTTCTGCAAACACTGAGAACCAGTGAAGAGCAAGGGAGGGAGACAGTCCTGGTGGGACACGCACGGATAAACGCGATAGTGACACGTCCTACCAGTGTAGCAACAGGTCTAACACACGGGCCTGGACCGCGGCAGTGAAATAGGACTCTGGGGTTCGGAGGAGGAAGGCCTTGTGGGCACAGGGCCGGGGCGGGCGCTGGAGGAAGCGGTGCTCGGATCTGGGCTTCGACGCACAGGCGGGAAGTGGACGGGCTGAACCTCGGGGGAGGGGGAGGCGAACGTCGCAGAGAAGGCAAGCAGATAAAATGCTGGTGTGAGTGTGTTTGTGGAAAGGCAGGTGGCTTGGCGTGTGGAAACACAGGGCGCGTGAAAGGAAGGAGGCAAATACCAGGGAGGGCAGGGTCGGAGGGGGAGATTTCTACGTTAGACTGAACCGTGTGGATTTTCTTCTGCATCCGAGGTGGAGAAATTACAGGTCCAATCTGCTATGATCACTGCAGTTAGAAATAGAGCTGAACAGAGGGCGCTAAGTAAACGATTAGGAGGGATGTAGAGAAAAGCTGGTTGAGCGAAGTAGGTGTTAAAACCACTTGTTATTTTGGCCATTGTTTGCCATTTTTGCCACTATTCTGCCATCCTAGGTCCCAGGTCAGCTTCATTTAACTGCCTTCTTTGTCTGCCAGCTCCCGGGACCTCAGCCTGGGGCCACTGAGCTCCCGGGACATAGCGCCCCAGCAGTGTTAATTGTTCCGGCACTGGAAAATGAGGACCGGCTCTGCCCTGCGGAGGACAAGAGGGGGTTGCTTTTGGGACAACTTTAGACACAGATGGGCCCGTGTAGGACTCCATTTCTGTTCCTGTTTTCTCCTCTTCCACTGCCATGCAGCTGAGACAAGTTACAGTTAATAAGGAGGCCAGATTGTATGCCATGTAAATGTTTTAGGAACTATTCTTAGGTAATGTTCATCATCTGTAGAACAGAATTTACCATGGAATATAAGTATTAAAGGTATTATTACAAATGAGACTGTGGTGAGAATAAGAGACTTTGTAACTTTTAAACGAGGGTGTTATGTGCTTTCTTCAAGTGGTCTGTCAATCAAAACACTTTCGGATGAGTGCTCGGTGCCACCCATTTCCTGAATTTAATGCAGGCTCTCTTTCTTACGTTTAGGACAGGGCTGTTTACTCCGGACATGGCCTTTGAAGCGATAGTCAAGAAACAAATTGTGAAGCTGAAAGGACCTTCCTTGAAGAGTGTGGATCTGGTAATGCAAGAATTAATCAACACTGTCAAGAAGTGTACCAAAAAAGTAAGCTTGAGTCACTGAACTTTCCAACCAGCACCTGCCTGGTTTACCCTTCTTTATGGCCCTGCCGCACGCCTCTCTTTGCCGAACCCCCCGCCCCACTTTGTTGTTGAAGGTGGTGGGCTTACTCGAGGGGAAGGGCTGGGAGGAGCACTGAGTGGGAACTGATTTCCTGGGAGACGGCACATTGTCTTCTGTCACCCAAATAGAGTCCTTAAGCAGGTGAGCATCACTTTAGAAGAATTAGGTGAATGCCCTAAACTGATTTTTCTTTGGTGCTAGATGGAGGTATTGTTAGGGGATGGGAATCGCTGATATCATGTGAATTAGTATTGTGTAAGGAAGTACTCCTAAATTTACATGGATTGCACTTGAACCTGGACATCCTGGGAAGGGGCAGCATGGTCTAATCGCGGAGCTGAGCCTCTGAGGTCCAGTTACCTTGATTCCTGTCCTGGCCCTGCTGCTTGCCCTGTGACTTTGTGCATCATACTTGATCCCTGGGCTCCTGTGACTTCTCTGTGAAGCGGGGATGACAGTGGTAGTCGAAATACTACTTCAGTGAGGATTAAACAAGGTGGTGTCTGAAAACCACAGGCCCTTCACGTGGATGAACCATAGTAATGGCACAGTGAATGGCGGCTGATCTGTAAATGGCCATTACTCGCTGGTAACACCTGTTGAGTCTGATGGAGAGTGTGGTGAGCGAGAGACTTCTCGGCCCGGGGGCCCCTCGCGGAGGAAGTTGGCAGAACTGTGCTGGCTTCCATCCACTCTGTGAGGACAGGAAAGGGGTACCCTGGCCCGGAAAATGATGGAGGGAATCAGAGATGCTGTTCGGGGTGGGGCAGACTAGCCTCAGGAGAGGCAACTCTGGGACCGCGATCATTTCTTGACGGTACAGACACTTGTGGTTTGCTAGTTTCATTACTTTCCCCTCTCTGTATGGCCCCTATGAGTAACCTCTAAAAATCCAGTTGGAAAGCAAGAGAAAGAATGAGAGAGAGAGAATGCAAATGAGTAGGAATTTTGATCCTCAGGTAGCGGCCACACAGCTCAGACGAAGAAAAATGTAAGCGGCGGAAGAGGAAAGCAGGCTAAAGTCCTAGATGTCAGGGCAGAAAGAGCCCGGGCTGCCTGCCCCATGGCCAGCTCGGGGCCCAGGAGTGGTTTGGGGGCATCAGGCCTCTCGCAACTCTGTCACCGTGTTCCTTGAAGTCCTAGCCTCTGTTCTCCAAAACGGGAAAAGCCATAGACATTAAGGGACTGAGGAAGGGGAAAGGAGGGAGGAGAAAACCAGCCTTTGTGCCGTCTGGAGACCTGAAGCTGGTTAATAAGTAATACTTCCCATTCTCTGTCCTCACCTGTGCCTCGAAAGGCACTCAGTCTCGTCGCCTGTCCAGTTAGTGCTCTCCCAGCGGGCCTCCTCCTCACTGACTTAGAGAATTAACCGACACCGCCTTCTCCGTTAGCCCGTGGCCTGCCTGCCCCAGCACACAGCCGTCCTCAGCCAAGCGCCCCCACCCGGCGGCCCCGTCCCCCCGCTGGGCCGTCCTCTTCCCCAGGGCCACGGGGTCACATCTGTCCTCAAACCTGTTCAGCCGGTTGCAGTTCTTATTTTAACTCCACAGTTTAAATGAAGAGTAAATCAGTGATCAAATGCAGAAAGGACTGAGCTTTGTGTCCGTGAAAACCCAGCTTTGGAAAGACTTGGTCCGCCTCTATAAGCTTTGCGATGGACCAGGTCCAGGAGGGACAGCGCCAGCAGATGTGCGAGAGCCCCACCGGCCTAGACGGGCTCTGCGTTCCGCTTGTCCCTCCACGGCAAAGAAAGCGAACTGGGAGTCGTAGATCGGGGATGTGCTTCATGGGAGACAGAGAGGCAGAGCTCCAACCAGGAGACCCATGTGCTGGGCCAGGCCTTGGCCTTACATCAGAGGACTGGCCCATGTCTGTGCCCCATCGAGGTTTTGAGTTATATGAAGTGCTCATGGTATGTAGGAATCACTTTTTAAATCATTTCCCACGGCACCCGCCTTAGCGGGAAACCAACAGTCAGCCTGGTGGCAGGGCGTGCGACAGCCTGTCCCGAGCACCTTGGCATCTGTCCTTCGCTCTCCACCTTTGAGTGGCTCTGTCCTTTACGCTCTCGGGTCAGTGGTGGGTGTATATATGTACTGTCTTCTTAAAACATTTTATAGTTTGCCTTAAATGAAGCCTAGCTTTCTCGCTGAGGAGCCTGTGTACCCTGCAGCCCTTCGCTGCACAGCGTTTATTGGCCCAAACCCAAGGATCGAGGGCCTAGATCATTTGTCATTTGTCTGCTTTTCCTTTTGTGGCTTGCAAACATCATGCCTTCACTTTCCTGTAAAAAGTCTTCTGTAAGGGTTTCTTCCAACCTAGCCATCTCCTCCTGCTTTTATTTTCTTTCCTGACCATTGTATGAGTCTGTGTCTAAACAGAAGAGAGAAACCACACAGCAATTTGAATGGGGAACGTCTGCTATAAAAAAGGATTAACCACAACAGGGGATTAGTGTCCTGAGGGATTGGCTAGAAAGAAGTTAGGAGAACTATTGAATACAGGAATAGTAGCTAAGGGGCCACCCTTAGGGGGCACCCGGGGAAACGGACCCTGGCCAGGGCTGTGTGCCAGATCACAGATGTGGCTCACTGAATGGCAGGAAAGTGGCTTAATGTTGTGCCGGCGGAACTTGCTGGAAACTTGCTCTCCAAAGCAAGCTGGCAGGGAAAGCCCCCCACGGGGAGGTGTCTCAGTGGGGCCTTCTGCTGCGAGGCTGTGCCAGGAGAGGTGCGGGGCCTCTGGGGGCCACCCGAGCCTGCCCGGCCTGCACACCTGATCCAAACCTCTTCTCCTCCGGGGGCCCCTGGGTGCATCGCTCGCCTAGCAAAGCTTCATGCTGCGCCCGGGCAAAGGGGAAACACTTCAAGGGCCCAGGGTATATTGTCACAGCGGGGCAAGAAGGTTGCATCTGGAGCCGAGAAGCATGAATTGACAAGCATCACCTACCTTTAATTTTGAGATCTGTCACTTCAGTTCTGCCTGGATCAGCTTTGCCACCTCTTGAAACTCCAGGGATGGTCCAGTGTGCCATTCGTCTTTACCTCCTGTGTTGCCCCCAAGTTGCTGAAGAGCCTGGAGAGAGTCATTCGTCTCTGTGGCCACGATAGAGCCGTTGTCCTCAGTGTGTCATCCGTGGCTTCCCGTGCTCTCCACAGCATCCATGTCAAACTTTTAGCTCTCTCTTAAAGCCACTTTGTTCGTCATTTTCACCTCTATTTTTCAGTAATGATTTTATGGAGGAAATAGGGACCACGAATGCGAACTTCAGTTTCCTGTCCTCTGAGCCCCGCACGTACAGGTCGCCAGCCATGCCTGCCTCTTGCTCTCAGTGGCCGTGGCACCCTGTCCGGGGCTGGGCTCTGACCTGGACTCTCACCTCCTCGGAACTTACTTTCTGATTCTTCTATTTCCTCCATCATCACTCTCTCCATTGCATTTAAAAACAGTAAGTGTATAAATAGATGTCTATCTCTTCTAACTTAAAAGCAATAACAAGAGTAATAAAAACCTGTCCCTCCTGCCCTCTTCCTCTCCTTTTCTTCATGGGTGGCCTTTTTGGGAGGAGAAGTAGTTTGTACTTGTTTCTCTTTACTCTTCCACGTCCAGCCAATTCCTTAACCATCTGAAATTTGAAGTCCACCCTCCCACCACCCCAGCGAAATAACTGTGGCGTGGTCAGCCAGGGGCCTGATACCAGATGTAATTAATGGACACTCTTATTCCTGCTGCTGTATTCCACGCTCTCTGAAGCTGACTCCCCGCCCCATGGCTCTCTTCCATCTCCTTTAAGACTGTACCCACCGTTACCTGCCCCTACACACTGGAGTCTTGCGGGACTAGCTCCTGGTTTTCTTTTCCTGTCACTGTCCCTGGACCTGGTAGGTCATGTCTCCCATAGTCCAACTGCCACTTAAAATATTCTTTCTTCCCAAATCTCTACTTCAACTTCAGCCTCTTTCCTGAAGCTGTCTTCTCTACAGCCTACTGCAGCTACTGCCTTCTCTGAGGCCCTGAGCAATTTGTTTTTTGTTTTTGTTTTTAAAACTAAATGAGTCCACTGGCCTCCTCATTAATCCTTCTGCCTCCAGCCTGGCCATCCTTGAACTCTTCCTCCTACAGTTGTCGAACCCTTCTACACAGACACCTGTCTTTTGCCCGTTGCCTCGGAATTGTCCGGTGGCTCCTCACAACTTGAGAAAGTCCGATTCCATCATGGGTGTGTGTGGTTTCGCCCTCTGGTCTCCGGATGCTTCTGCAGCCACACCTGTTGTCTCTGTCTCCTTGCTCTGGCCATTCGGCCATTCCCTGTTGGCTCGCACTACCCAGAAATGTTGTTATGCGCTCAGCGCTTGCTCACGTGGTTCTCTTTGTCTAGAATGTGTCCTTCCTCCTCCTGTCTTCACTTGCCGTCTCCTCTCATGTTTGAGATCCAGCTTAATCATCGTCTTTTCCCTGGAAATCCTCCTGCGGGGTGGCCGTGAGTGCTCTCCTTGTCCCCATCCTCACTCGCGTCTCAGGGTTCCCATCAGCACCCCGTGTTTACTTCATCACAGCATTTATGATACTCCATTGTGACCTGTGTGCCATTTATTTCTAGGGAGAATGCCTTTTCTTGCTGATTGTAAGCGCCTTTAATTTTTTATTTAAAAAAATTTTATTGAATGTATTGGGGGTGACATTGGTTAATAAAATTGTATAGGTTTTAGGTGTACAGTTTGTAACACGTCAGCTGTATGTTGTACTGTGTGTCCACCGCCCTGAGTCAAATCTCCGTCCATCCCCATTTATCCCCTCTTTACTCTCTTCTACCTCCCCCACTCGCCTTCCCTCTGGTGATCATCATACTGTCGTCTGTGTCTATGAGGTGTCTTTTTTTTTTTTTAAAGATTTTATTTATTTTAGAGAGAGGGAAAGGGAAG